CCCCCCCCCCCCCCCCAACTTGCTGTCACCCCTGATAGTGCCTTTACCTTCTGTCTTTCAGTTCCCAGTTTAATATCAAACACTGTAAAATCAGACTCCTCTTTCTTATGTTCAAAGAATATTCTGAAGTTCTGCCAAACACTCCTATATGTATGGGAAGTATGTCTGATGCAGTACTAAATAAAAAATATAAGAAATATATTATCCATCTTAAAAAGATGTAAACTTTATTAATCAAAGTAAATTCTTCATCATCAACCTAGGTTTGATAAAGTGAGCTGCCATTGCTCAGTTTTTAATTGGTCACGTAGTTAGCTGTAGTATCCAAAGGGGATAATATGATGGATAAACATTTCAACTTAAAAATTAAAACGAAAGGAAAACCTAAGTTTTAGATCTTTCTGGAATGATGAATTCACACTTTCACTTCCATTCTTGTGGTTGTGATGTTACTAAATAATAACAGAAGGAACCTCATTAATTCACCTACTATTTATTGTTTGTTGTGTCCTCTAACATTAAAGTGACATGAAGGTGAGGAACTAGTTCAAATGTTGTTAAAGCAGTTCTTGTTCTCCTCTATTCTTCTTCATTGAACTTTTTTAGGATGGGAAAAGGTTGAAACATAACCTTCTGAGATCTAAATGTTAATCATGCCTTCTAATTGATTAAGATTTTAAAGTAGAAAGTTTCTTTGGTAGCTAAATCTTCTTCAGTGTCATGCCTGCATACAGGAATTAACTGTCATAACTTTCTATTTCTCTGTCCCTGGTGTTATTCAACAATTCTTTGTTATTCATTATTCCTAACCATTTATCTTCACCTTCCTTTCCTCCTATCTTGATAGTTGTTACTATGTGCATCATATTTTTCCCCCTCTTTATAATCTATGAACTCTGCTTGTTTCTCTCTTATTTTCTTGATGATATTGCTTATTGTGTTGCCTTGTACCATTACTTGTTCATTACTTTTCTCCTTAGTCCGTATTTTGCAATCGTACATAAGTATGGGCCAAATGTAACATTGTAAGACATTTTCTGTTACTTCTATTGAGATATTATTGTTTGTCAGCATAGCTTTCATAATTTGAAAGGCCTTCTTAGCAAGCATTATTCTCCTTTTAATCTTTCCTATGCATTTACTATTTCATGTTATTAATAAGCCTAGATAGTTGAAACAGTGCCACGTTAAGGCACTGGTGGGCCCCGATGAAGTATAAATTAGTGCCTTTCCCCTGCTTTTAAAAACATAACTTACAATTTGATAAACTAAATGTATTAGTGATAAAAAAATATGGAAATAAAAAAGGTAAAAATATAATTCTTAAAAACAACTGGTTTATTATTATTAATTTTATTATACACTTCATATTTTATTATTTATTTTTATACTCGCAGTGCACAGTGGGGTCCTGATGGTAGTGGACTCTGTGAAACTGCCCCTTTGCCCATTGGATAAAATGGTTTTGAGTTGAAACACTGAACTTGTTTGATATTTGTTCCATCAGTTGTAATGCTGTATTTTGAGATATTACTTTTGGAGGTTACCATATATTATGTTTTCTTGCTGTTGAGAATTAGTCCTTTTTCTTACTTTCACCAATAACTAAATTTACCATTTCTTAAATATTTTCCTCATTTTCAACATTTAGTACTGTGTAATCTACATTCCTGAAGTTATTTTTGTTATGTCTTCCAACTTTAATTCTCAGCTAATTTTCTATACTTCTGAGAACCATTTTGCTATATATTGAAAAAAAGGTCTGGAGAAAGAATGCATCTTTATCTGACACCTCATTTTACTTTCTGAAAAGTGCATTTTTGTTTCATATCCAAACTCATACTGCAGTGAAGGTCTACCAAACATGAATTTTGTATGAATTCATTAAACAGAAACATTATTATTTGAAGTTTGACTAAATGACATATAAAAAGTGCACTTGCCAATGGTGAAAATTGGCATTCTTCATTAACAAAATCCATTTTTATTGCAGGGTGTACCATAAGGTGTAGATCACTCTGTGTCTTCACTACCAACCCAGAAGAACTTAAAGGAGAGATTCATGAAACATCACTTGTCAAAAGTTCTCAAGGTTTTGGTTTCACCATAGTTGGTGGGGATAACGGAGAAGAATTTTTACAAATTAAAAGTGTTGTGCAAAATGGGCCAGCCTGGAAGGATGGTAAACTACAAACAGGTTTGTTTTTATATTTGTAATTCTTTTTTTTTCATTTTCTTTGTGGTTGTATAAGTATGAAAGAACTGTGTAAAGTTGACATAAATTTGTATTTAATGAAAGTGTCTTTGATGACTATCTATGTCATGTGATAATAAACAAGTTAAATTATAGAAATTGTAAAAGTGCTCCAAGGATATGTATATCTGAAATAAGTTTGAAAGTTTAAGCTTAAAATATTTATTTTATATTACACTGTTGTAGCTTCTTTTACTTCACCTTCAAGTTTTAACCATTGTCCTGTTAGCTAACTTATATGTTATTTAAACACAATTAAAAGTTCATGAAATGATTTTGGACATTTTGGTACAAGTATAACTTGCAGTGTTGTTTTAAGTCGGCTCTAAAAAATTTTAATACAAATTAATACAGTTTTCTCAGGAGCAAATGAGTATCAAGAGTAATATAAATGTAAGATAATTTTGATTCATTACAATTTTCCTTGTCCTAGGGGATGTACTTGTATATTTAAATGACAAGTGTGTCCTGGGACTCACACCTGAAGATATGGTGGAACTCTTTCAGTCCATACCTCCTGGAAATACTGTCCACTTAGAAGTTTGCAGAGGTTATCCCTTACCCTTTGACCCAAATGATCCAGACACAGAAATAGTGACTACAGATGCTGTGACAGCTTGTAACACACTATATGCTGATGGGAAGATGCATTTTTCTGGCTTGAACAAATCAAAAATGAACAACTCTCAACTTTCAGGGGTTGAAGTGGAGTCAGTGGGATGGTCTAGCCAGTCAGTAACTGACCTCAGTACTGATCAAGTTGATCAACAGCACTCTCAGAGGTACAATTGTTCAGATCTTCAAAATTCCAGCGAGGTGGGAAATGCCCCCGATATCCTGGATTTTAACCCTCAGAGTCCACACAGGCCAGAATTGTTAACATTAGAGATAATAAAGGGTGATGGAGGATTTGGTTTTACAATTGCAGACAGTGCTTATGGGCAAAAGGTAAGATGCTATTTTTGAATTTTGGTGCTATATTTTAGGAAAGTATATAAATATACTTAATTAAATATCATAATATACTTAATTGAATATCATAATATACTTAATTAAATATCATAATATACTTAATTAAATATCATACTATACTTAATTGAATATCATAATATACTTAATTAAATATCATAATATACTTAATTAAATATCATAATGTACTTAATTAAATATCATAATATACTTAATTAAATATCATAATATACTTAATTAAATATCATAATATACTAACTAAAATTGTCTTGAAAGAAGTAAGATCTAGAAAAGTAAAATTTTTATAACTTGGTAAATATCAGCTAAAGTAGTTTAGGATAAAGATGTGTTGCAGCCAACAAAAAGATTAAGAAATCTATTAAATATGAATTTCTGAAAATATTTATATAAAGAGAGAATGAGCAAAAAAAAAGTGCCTTAATGATTAAGGTTACATGAAGCTTGTGAATGACTGCAAATGCTGTATCTAATTTTTTCCAGCTATACAAAAATTTATATATAAATATTTGTGCTCTGGTAATAAAAAAAACATCAAACAAATGTTTTGTAATGGTCAATCCAATATTTCAAAATGCTTGGATAAAGGCATAACTTGTAGATTGAGTTGTATTGAGTAATCAACAATGAATGAACCACACTGTTTTGCTCATTCAATCTCGTTTCAGTTTATTGATTAACAGCTTTTCATTTCCTGTTCACCATTGGCCTTTGCAAGGATTTTAACTCCTTTATATCAGTTCAATGCATTTTTCTTAATACTTCAAAATTACTTGAATCTTAAGTTTGCATGTTCTTACATTTAAACTGTTAACCACCTCGTGGTGGATCCAATGCAACTAAAAAACCATTTAGGACATTTTTGTTCATATACTATGTTAGAAGTTTTAAAGGTAGGTATATGAACCTTATACTTTAAAACATAATGTAATTTGCATGCAGGCTTAAAAATACATTTCCACTCTACTAAATGGTTAATAGTTCAAATATAAGAACATGCAAATTTAAAAACTATGTCATTTCCAAGTATCAAGAAACATGCGCTGAATTAATGTTATAAATCTATAAGTAGAAGACAATTTAAATTTCTCACTAAGGCCAACAGTGAACAGGAACTACATATAAAGGAAAGTCTATTGATTAACGGACTTAAACTGGGGTTGAATGAGCAAAACTGTGCAGTTTGTTTATTGTTGTATCTTTAAGCGTGGGTGATATATTAACTTAATGTAGTTAGTAATTCACAATAATTCCTGATAATTTCAAGATCCGTGTTCCAAAATATCACTACCTTTACAGGTAGAATGGTTAAAATATTTTATCTTATTCATATAAATATAGAAAAACTATAAACTTTTTTCCTAATTTCTCCAAAAAATACTTAATTTAAACACAATGTTTTGATCTATTATTGTAGGTCTTCTGTAGTGTTTTTTTGTCCTTTCTTGGAGGGATGTTGTGATTCTGTATAATAAATCACGTACATTGTGATCTATGAGATAGAGGGGGTTAATATGAACATGATACATTACTGTATTTTTGGATATCTGTAAAGCATTTTTATTGTATCAACACAAATTACTTGTTACTTTGACTAGACTCTAGAACTTTGAGGATAAAAACATTGTATCAATCATGTCCAGCCTGTATAGTTTTAGCAATGTATGTTAGGTGAAGAAAATTCTAGATAAGCAACGATGTAAGCTGTTACAAGAGGGAGACATCTTAGTAAAGATTGGCAATCAGGATATAACTGGACTTACACATGCTAAGGTAGTGCAGTTACTGAAAGACTTCCTATGTGGGGATCAGGCATGCATCACTATACGACGAGGAGGAAGTGCCTCCCCCATCAAAGGAAAGGAGAAAGTTTCAAAGGTGAGAAGTAGTATGATAGAGATAAATATAATATTTTTTTATCTTTATTCTTTAGAAAAACAACTTATTTTAACTTTTGCAGTGTTTCAGTCTTGTAATCTGTAATTATACTTCTAATGATGCACAGAAAAGATTTATATAAAAAAAATTTCCCCTATGTTTAATATTTCAGATTTCAGAACAAAATAATTTATATTGTATCAGTCTTACTAATTAAATATCAGCATTTTTTAAATTAATAAATTACCCTATTGTTATTTATAATACTTAATATGTATCCTGTTTTATAATTTGGTCCTATCCAAAGTTTTGACTATGTTTTTACAATATTCTGGAGAAATTTAATTTATAATATTCTTTAATAGTAACACATTGTTAATTCAGTGGTATATCAGTCACCCATAGATAGTTTTAGATCACATGCATCCCACATGTTAAAACAGAACAAATATATATTATATAACACCTTTTACATTCTAAAATAAGTTCTAGTACCTTCATCCTGCAATACATATTTTTGAAACCCATAAAGGTGAGTAGTAGTTTTATAACAGCAGTTCCCTTTTTTAGTCCATTTGTACTTTTTTTTACCTATACTTGTATGATTGATCTATTTTCATCTTCATCTTGAAGATACAATACTTTTCTGTGAATAAAATTGTATGAATTTCTAATCATAATTTATATAGTTCTTAAATTCTAGAAGTCTTGAAATAATAAAATCCTAGTAACAAGTGGTTTTAATTGTAAATATATTAGTATCTAGTTGTTGGTTACGTTTGGAGAATGTGGTTTGGAAACTGGCTCTTGTAGCTTACATTGTTAAACACTGTAAAAATCGTTTAGTAATATAATAAAAACAAAATGTGTTAAGTCATCTGTTATTGTTAGTTCAGTACTTTATATACCCAGAAACATTTACAAACACTGATAGTAAGTTATGTTCTCTACCGTATATTAAACCAAAACTGTAAAAAGATTTAAAATGTTATTTATTTCATAGCTATGAGGTTAGAGAACTGGAAAGCAAAATGTATTTTATAATTTATAAACAGTGCTGTATAAGAGATGCTACAATAATATATGTAGTAGTATTTTACTTGTTTTACCAAAATAGTTAATGTATTTTAGAAAAACTGAGTCAAAGCATTTTACTGGAAACTCACACTAATCTTCTGTACTTTTAAAATACTTATCAACATTTTTGTAATGATAATATACTTTAATATGAAATAAGACTTATTACAATTAGTATATATATTTTTTTCTCTTTTGCAGAACCCTGGTGGTATTCGTAAATCAGCAAACAGCTCCATCTCACATTCCCTACTGATTAACTTTTCGGGTTTGTAACAGATTTTGTAATAACACTAATTTCTTTTATTATTATTTCATAGATAATTGAGTTTAAGTATTCTGAACTGTTCACATAATTTTGAACAAACAGCAAATAAAAATTTATGCAAACAGGAAATGGTTTGTCCCTTTGACTCATTGTTTTTATATTTAGATCTTTAGATCTATGGTTGACGTATCTTTACTGATTGGAGTAATTTAACTTTGTAGCTAATTCTTCAAGATTGGAAACAGGTATAGTTAGAATTTGTTCCAAACCATATAATTCAATGATTGTTAGTTATACTGAATTAGTCTGACAAGAATACTTTCAATTATTTAGAATATTTATTAATAGTGTAGAATCTTAAAAGAAGGTAGTATTGACTATAAGTCTGTGCATCTCACAAATAATTGTATTATATTTTAAAGGGAAAGCTGTTTTTGTAGATTTTGGCTGCTGAATTTTCACATGTTGCATAAATTATGGAATGTACTGATTGAATAAACAAACGTTTTTCATATAAAACCTTATTTTCTATCTGTTGCTGTAAAAGCAGTCTGTTTAGTTAAGTTTTGTTTTCTCAATAAAGAAGGACACCTTCCATCTGTTTCTGGAGCACATCGAAGTAAAACTCCAACAGCTGACCTCTACAGGTCCAAAGACAAAGAAACTATCTACATTAGTCGACCAAAAACTCCACTTGTTGATTCTAGGAATTGGGAACGGTCTACAAATAGTGAAATACTTGCATCTTGTGATTCAGAAAATGTGTTGAATGCTAGAACTACTGGTAATATGAGTGTTACCTCCTGTGATAAATATAATACTTACTCTGGAATGCTAAAAGAAATGGTTCTGAGTGGCTCATCTACAGCTGTTACTGAGAACACTGGTTCTGGTGATCACAGTCAAGAATCTTACTGGAATGATCACAGCTGTACAGAGTTGGGTATGAATACTAGTGAGGAGGATAGGGAGCATGAACTGTTGTATGCATGCACATCTCATCACAATGGAAATTTTAATAGAAATATAAAGTTAGACCTGAAAAATCCTATCTACTCAAATATTCCCAGTTCTCATAGTGAAAGGTCAGATAATGAGGGTTTCTCTACTTTGTCATATCATAGTAGGACAAATGTTCACAGTTGTGGTGATATGGACAATCAGGATCTTAACTGTATAGTTAACAACAGCAAGACTGCCAACAACAGAAGTAGTTCAGGCTGTTCTAATAGTTCAAACAAGGGTTTGTCAAACAACAGAACTTTGTCATACAGGAGGAATGGAAGTATTTCAGGAGAATTTCTACATGAACATAGTCCACGGGACTATTTCCAAACACTATCTGGTGAAGAAACAGAATCTGTTTACTCAACTGTACCTTCTAATAAATATAGAGTAGGCTCTCAGAATGACAGCCAGACTCAACAAAAGTATGAAACTTCAACTGAGTGTGAGCAACCTGAGGCTACAGCATTGTATTGTGCACCAAGGGACACCATTTCCACTTACAGTAGGCCTAGTCTTAATTCATTTGGTGCAACTGTTCCAAGATCACCACCTCTTGGATGGAGCACAGATTTTCTTGAAATGACCATAACACTTGTCAGAAAAGAGAGTGGTTTTGGTTTTCGTATTGTAGGAGGAACAGAGGAGGATTCGCAGGTAATATTAAGGAAAAGTATTATAATATTAATAACACGTTTCTAATAATAAGCTATTATAACAAGACTTGAAAGTTCTTGCACATTTTCTTGCATCATAATAACCCAGTTGTATTTTCAGTGTTCAAAGATAAAGGATTAGGTAATGATCTGAAAGTAATAAATCACTATGATGAAAAAAAAATAACTGTTTTATATTTTCTTTTATTCTATAGTCACTGGTGTTTCACTTAAAAAAAAAATCATAACATAAATTTAAAAGCCCTAAACTATTTTCCAGCCATAAAAATAAATTCTCTGATATTAAAATTTACTTCGTTATATTGGTGGTTAGTTACATATTTGGTATATTTTGCTTAATAAATTGATTGTTTACAAATGTGGATTTACTCTTAATACCTCTATAATGTCTGATTATTACCTGACAAGCTGAATAGATGATATACAGTACTTGGTTTCAGAACATGTAGAATTAAAATAGTAATAGTCTGAACAAGAGTTAGTTGGGGGGATAAAAAATTGAGTATCATAAAAATTAAGTTGCTACCTTCAGACTCATTCCTGATGAAAGTGATTTAGCAGAGGTTTTTTCCTAATGTTAAGTTACTATGTTATTTATTAACTTTCAAGCTGTGACATGTTTTATCTTCATTTAATTAGCTTCATTGAAGTGTTGTTTTGTTGTAAATTTATTGAACATTTTTCTGAAAGTGTATTTCAACTGTAATTTCAGCTGAAAATTTCAACTAGAAGATGCAACATGTGGTTAGAATTAATGAAACTACAATTTCTTTTTTTTGTTATTTTGATCAGTTTGTCAATGAGCATTTGCTCTACTGCAGCTTTCTCAAATTATAGTGAGTAAAAACAATTCTAACAAGAGATTATGTGTAAAAGAGCTTGCAACATAGACTGAGATAGATCCATACTTGGATTATACATTACATTTTTTTAAGCAAGTTTTACAGTTATCTCCATCAACCTTTAAGCTTAAAGCTCAACAAGCAGACCAGGAATGGTCTTAACAATTTCCCAGTTTAAGTTTTATTTTTGGATTCCTAATTTTTAATTATTTATAATTTCTTTCTTCTGATGCTGGGTCAATGTCAAATCTTCACCACTTTTCTATTATCAGCTAGAACTAAAAAAGTGCATAGTGTACCTGAAAATAAAAGTGCTTTAATGAAATAAAAATAATAATGTTTTTAAAAATAACAAAAAAGTCAATTGTTGATGTGGGAACCCTCCAGATATAGTTATTATGATGTCTCACTTGTAAAATATGATTTGTGGACTTAAAAGTTTTTAATTATAAATTTCTGTGGTAGACTTAGTTACCTTTGAAATAAGTGACTTTTAAGTCTTCAATAATTTATCTCAAATCTAGTTGACATTTCATTTGTTCAACTTACAGGTGTCTGTTGGTCATATTGTGCCCGGTGGAGCTGCAGATATGGATGGACGTCTCCATTCAGGTGATGAAATAGTCTTTGTTGACAGTCAAGTGGTCATCAGTGCATCACACCATCAAGTAGTTCAGTTAGTGAGAAATGCAGCACTAAGTGGTAGAGTAACACTGAGGATCAGAAGACGAGTATCATCTTTAGGTCTGATTTATGTATTTTTTGTTATGATTTGACATAGTGGATGACACTGTGAGAGTAAATATCATTATTGGGCTTTGTAGTAATACATAAGTAAAATACGTTAATTGCATAATGTAGCATTTCATCTAGACTTATAAGATAAAAAATGACTATAAAAGTATGTACATGTAATGGGAGGTCTACTTTTAAAAATATCAGTTATTTAAAGGTATGCAACAGCATTGAAATTTACCATATTTTAAGTTAAAATACTTTAAAATTTTTTAGTGTTTGTTGTTTCTTATAATAAAATATGCCAAGTTTGTTTACTCAAAAGGAAGAAAAACTATTTTCCATTATACACTTACTTCTTCCAGAGTAAGTTAAATTAACTAAAAATACACTAATTTTACAAACTTACTAGTTTTGCAGTCCTTTTCATTATTGTTTTGTATGATTAGTGTATTAATTAATATACCACACTACATGCACAGTGATTTTACAACTTCTGTTTTTACTTTAACTGACATGTTGTGTAAGTTCTTACTTTTAGCATCAAATAATAAAGAAATCTCAAACCATTGTGATGTGAAAGAATATTAACATTGAGCTACATTTTCAGAAAAAAAAGTTCAAATTGAAATGCACAACCCAAAATGTTCTTGGAACATATATAAATGTAGCTGGGTTTACAAAAAAACTTCTAGAAGGATTCAATATATCAGAAATTATGTTTACTTTTAAATATTCTACCATTCATTCCATAGATTGCATGGAAGTATTTTAGAACTTGGTTAGTTCTGAACTCTTCTGTAAATTTTAGAACACTGTCTAAAGTTTGGCAATCGAAGCACACCTCAAGTTCTCCACTAAACTGGTGAAAACTGTCTAAAGTTGGCAACCAGAATGTACCACAAACCCTTCTGAAAAACAGTTAATACTGTCTATAGTTTGATAATCATGCCACATGCAAACCATTTTGTAAAACAGTGAACATTGTTCAAAGATTTTACAACTAGGACACACCACAAACTCTTCTATAACACAGTGAATATATTTAAAGTTTGATAATAAGAACACACCACAAACCATTCTGTAAAACAGTGAGCACTTTTTAAAATTTGATAATCAAGACATACACCAACTCTTCTGTAAAACAGTGAACAATGTCTAACGTTTGACAAATAGGACACACCACAAACCCTTCAATAAAACAGTGAACATGAATAAAATTGATAATCAGGACACACCAAAAACCTTTCTGTAAAATAGTGAACACTATCTATAGTTTGTGTACACTTCAAACCTCATCTTTAAGTGCTGTGTTTAATGTTCAGTCAGATGCTTTGTTACTTTGTAATATAAACAGAGATTTTGATAAGTTCTGTATTATTAAATGTACATAATGAATAAATCATTAACAGATTTTGTTTTCCAAGATTTGTATAGTTACTTGAAATGTATGGTTATTTACATGATCTTCACCAGGATCAACACTTAGATTAGGTAAATCTAAAACAGGTTTTGTGATGTTTCCTTCTTAACTGATTTACGAGATTCAAATTAACTTGCTTTAACTAGTTTGAATGCTTTGCTAGACTCAAAAGTAAACTGTATGTTTAGTATGACAAGGATGCAAGATAATGATTATTATGTAATAATGTTTACCAGTGTATTGTTATACATTATTTTCACTAAACGTTGTATGATTTATTTTTTCTGTCAGAGCCTTTAAATCACACCAAATCAACTGAAAAAATGTATCCATATGACATCACTCTCACAAGAAAAGAGAATGAAGGATTTGGATTTGTTATAATTTCTTCTGTAGGCAAAGCAGGATCAGCAATAGGTAGGTTTCATTTCTTCTGTAAGTAAAATAGGATTAACAACAGGTAAGATTTTTTTCCTCTTTAAGGCTAGATTAGCAATAGATAGGTTTAAAAGGCAGAATTAATGATAGGTAGGTTTTACTTCTCCTTTAAGGCATGATTAACAATTGGTAAGTTTTATTTGTTCTTAAAGACAATATATATTACCGGGGGTGTAGTGGTGCCAGAATTAGAAATATTGTAAATTAATAAGATACATATTTTTAAACTTGTTTTGATATTACTGATTTTAATATATGATACCCAGTTGTTGTTTTCCCTTACTGCTTAATTTAAAAAAAATTTAGTTGTATGTTTTTTCTTGGTAATATATGTGTATTCAGTTTAGAACTAATGTTAGTAAGTACTTTGATGGTGATGTCATATGTCTAACAGATTTTGGCAGGGGTCTGTCACTACACAATTTAGCACTGCACCACTATATATTATTGATAAATACACATTTTATTTAGTTCTGATTAATGAGTTTCATTAACCAGTGTTTCTGCTGTTTTAAGAATATATAATTTTTTAGGAGATAATTTGTTATTAAGTTCATTGAAAATCATAAAAATTGTCTGATTTTGTATATTGCAGGGAGAATTGTTCAACAAAGTCCAGCAGAACATTGTGGAGAACTTCAGGTTGGGGATTATATTCTGGCTATAAATGGTATAAGTATTTTAAATATGCACCATGAAGAGATTGTGGGCCTGATTAAAGCTTCTGGTTGTACAGTTGTACTCACCATTGGTCCTCCTCAAGGTACTAACCTTTGTCATTTTAACCAAAGTACACAGTGTCAGATGTAAACCATTTAATGGTGAGCTTTCTGGAATATATTTTCAGTAAATGATGACTAGAAAATAACTTGTTATGATAGTCAGTTTAAGTAATCTATATTTTATTTTTGCATAGAAATAACTTTGTTCAAACCATTAGTGTACACTTCTAAATGTAACCACTGTACAGATCAGACCTACTACACAGGCCTGCTGATAGCAATTCCATATCCCAGGGCAGAACAGTCATTGGCCCCTCTAGAAAAGCAATGCTGACTGTTATTACTTTTATTTTTATCTTATTAAATAAAAAAATATATATTTATCCCATCTGCTTGGGCCCCTTTAAGTTGATGGACTTCTGGGGAGTTGCTCCTTTGTTCCCCCTCCCCTGTCAGCAGGTCTACTATGCTGGTATACTGAAATTGTAGGTTGAACATTTTGAATCTAATCTAAATAAATAGTCATCTTAAACAAAACATTTTGGAGATTTTCTTATTTTGTCTATATTACCCATATTTTTCTGTATCTATAACATGTGTATCTTTATCACTCATTTTATAGTATTTTCTGTGCCTTTCTTAGTTGTTCTCTGTTTATGATAGCATTTATCTAAAAAGATGTAACGCTGATTAAATAGATTTTTTAATGTTATTGGCTACTAATTGCCATGTTCATTATTAATATTTTGTTTTTAGAATCTAAAACTTCAGTTTGTTTTAACTTTTGGTCTTGCAGGTGACACCTCCAGTACAACATCATCATCACAAAGGGTAGGTAACAAATTAAGATGGTGTCAGTTTCCATTCAATATTTTCATGTTCAAAATGTTTCAGTTGTTTTTTACTTATTTATTCAAGTGTTGTGTTTGTTTACTGTTGTACATTGTTAACAACTACTAATCCAGTAACCACCACGTGGAATCGTAAACTGTATGTTTATATCAAGATTAACAACTAAAATTTAGGAGAAATAATATATCTTAGATCAAGTACTGTATTACACAATGGCATAAACTGACAAGGGATTCTTGCTTGAAACTTTGCTCTGAAATAAAAACTTTTACCTGTGAAAGTGTGCAACTAATTCTATTATCTTCATATTTACAATAACCAATGTTATCTTAACAAACAATACTTTTTATTTTTGCACCAACTTTGTTTTCACTTGCTTTGCTGCTCTTCTGTATTCCTTATCTCAGAACTCTGGAACATCTTTACTTCATGTCATAGCCATCCCTTCACTGCCATTGGCTGATCCTGACAGGACACACATGTTTACTGTGACACTTATACTCTGTGCTTATCTTCAGTGCAGGTCTGTTCTGTAATTTCATCATCATCATCATCATCTTGTGTTTTGCACTCTAACTTATTTTCTTACAACTGCATATTATAGACACCAATAGATATCGACAGTCAAGAGTTTAATTAGCTTGTTTAAGAATTAAAAAATACTTTAAAAATATTTGACATTTTCTTAAGTATTATCAACATTAATTTTCAATAATCTGGTTTGTCTTTGATTTTATATATATTTTTCTGCTGATGATATGATGAAAAGAACATTTGAGATAATCACTGTCATAGCTTTGTTAGCAAGCAATCATTTTCTTAAATACAGCATGTTGATAAAACTTGGCAGATATACTCAGAACTGTAGCAGCAGTTTACCTTTATCTAGGCATAATGATAGATCTTGACAAATATAATAAGTATGGTATCTAAAACACTTTTAATTTTTCAATGAGCTGACGAATCTTGAGAAGCAACAAATAAATGGAAGAATTTAAACATTGTACCCTAATTTTTTGATGATAAATGTAACAGGGAGATGAGCAATCAACTGACCATGTTAGTGAATACTATTCTGTTGAGCTTCACCGTGGATCTCAAGGTTATGGCTTTAGCATTCGAGGTGGAAAGGAATTCAAAAACATGCCTCTCTTTGTGCTGAGGATAGCAGAAAATGGACCAGCACAGCAAGATAACAGACTCCAGGTGAGTAATGATCTAAAACAAACAAACTATATATTACATTTTCAGAATAATTAGAAGTTTGTGATGGTGAATTGAAATATAAAAAAATAACATATAGACATAAACATCTCTTCCCTAGGAATTTATTAAGTGCCAAAATAATTTTTAAGATAATTAAGTATTTGAACTGATTAAATTGCATTTTTCAGACTGGAATAAACAATTGCAATACATGCTTTTGTTTTATAGTTTCTTTTGAACTGCTCCTGCCTTTATATATACATATTTTTAATAAAATGTACTGATGTATCAATGTAAGAATATAATATGTACATAAAAGTTTAACAGACTGCTGATGTTATATTTTATTGTGATTAGTTTATATTATTTAGGCAAAAATTGAGAAAATTTACCAAATGTTTCATTTGTGAGCTTGGTACCACTAGAGTTAGTGTAGTTCATGTCGTAAATCATTACAAGTAAAAAAATTAAATTGCTCAGGGCAAGATTGATTTTTTTTTCAAAGTTAAAACTGGGGTTTTATTTTTAAATTTATTAATTTCTACTTTGCCACTTAGAAGTCAGAGATAAACTGAAAGCCTAGAAAACAATTGATGTTCTAAATGAGTAGTATATAGATATCTCATTACTTATAGTATCAGATGAAGAAATGGTAAAGTGTTTCTGCATCATTCACCCCAGTTATGCTAATGTTATATCAATGTTGAATAGCAACTTAAAACTCTTTCTTTCAGGTTGGTGATCAGTTAATTGAAATTAATGGAATCAACACCAAGAACATGACCCATGGAGAAGCTACAGAGCTTATTAGACAGAGCAATAACAGTGTTAGATTATTAGTCAAGAGGGGAGCAAATTTGCCATGTGGGTTTGGTATGTATGCTGGTATTTGATCTTTATATATGAATTCCAGAAGTTATCTTCTGTTATTTTTATTTTATTTTCCTTAAATCTCTGTTTACATATAGTTCTATAGAGGCTTGAGGATTTACTTTTAAGTTTGTACCAGAGACTGTTTGTCATAGTTATTTTTCATAAATCTTTGTTTACTACTCTCATAAAGGCTTGGGAATTTACTGTTAAGTTTGTGCAAGGGACTGATTGCTAGATCTGCATACGTATATGTGCCACAGTTTAAAAGTACTTTATAATTTAGATTATTAGACAATATTTAATAAGTGGAGGAAGCTATAAATAAGTAATATTCCAGGATTTATTTTACCTATTCCATCTTTAAACTAGATAGCTGCTAAAGTAGATTTATAGAATAGCATATATGAGACTGTATTTGTAGGATCAACTGTAATAATGAAATAGATGTGAAAATGCTAGGCTTTCAATCATGAAACATTTCTTAGAGAATTTTTGTAATTTAGAGAAACTATAGTTTCTCTGAGAGATTTTGTGGTTTCTATTACAAAAACTTAAATTTTGAGAGATCAAAAATGCAGAGAATTTAATGTTTAATGTTTTGATGCAGAGAAACTGAAGTTTTTAAGAGATTTTGTTGTTTTAATGTAGAGAAACTGAAGTTTTTAAGAGATTTTGTTGTTTTAATGTAGAGAAACTGAAGTTTGGAAGAAAGGACTTGCATTATGATGTTGAGAAACTGAGTATTTTGAGATATTTTTTGTTTTAATATAGTTTGTGAGAGGTTTTGCTGTTTTAGGGTACAGAAACTGAAGTTTTGAGAGAGATTTGTTTGTGTTTTAAGGAACTGAAGATTCTGCAGATATTTTCTGATTTAATATATACAGGAACTAGAAAGTTGCAATAAGTGTAAGGGTAAGGGTTAAGTCCTATGACTTTCATCTAGTCAATTATGGTGCTGTTTAGAAATAACATACAACTTTCACTCTATTTAAGTGAATATTATAAGCATCTTTGCTGTTTGAAATAACAAATATTTAAGAATAGGGGTGATTTTTTTGTCATATACAATCTTCTCTCTCTTCTTCTTTTAAAAAATATACCATAGTTTTCAAGTAGTTTCTTACTGAGAAAAGTCTTTTATGGCATTTTTTTCATATAATAAAGGATAAAATATTATTGTATGTTTATTTTGTGTTTGTCTTATTTATGTGACCACATGTTAAAAAGTTTAAGTTCCAGTTTTCTTTAATTGTTTTACAGTAGATGGCTAATGTTTTAGTAGATTTGATTTTTTATTATGGATTTTAGTTGACCAGCCAAGTCCACTGAATATCTCAGCTTCAGCAATGTCATCACTGCCTACGATACTTAATGGACCAATTAGCCAAAGCTCTCCTCGAGGACCCTCTCAATCAGATGGTACCATGAGAAATGTAGACCTGTGGAATTATGATATCTATTCATGAGAAGTTGAGGGATAAGTTAATATTTTCTTGGAGAAGCAATTACTTTGTTACATAATAATAATCTGATGAACTTGTATTGTTAGTTGCCAGAAGTTGTAGAGTAATGTTGATCAACACAGTCAAATGAATACAAAAAAGGTAGTGTTCACCAAAACGATTAAAGATAATCAAATTTGGTGTGGAATAGTGGCCTAATGTGTTGAATCATGAAGATTGTTGGTGTGTGACTTTGAGTGCTTTTTCATCATGGGAATATTCAAAAACATTAAAAAGTTTGTGAAAGCTGCCAACACTGTCATTAGTTAATGATATTATATCTGCCACATACATAAATGTTTAGATGATATTTCTACTTAAGTTATTAGTGCTACTTCAATTATTATTACTATTTAGATTATTGTTGCTATTGGATGATCATTGCTATTTGTGTGTTCACTTCTATTTGATGATTATTACTGTGGAATGATTATAATGTTTGATTATTATTGTTTAGATGATTGTTATACTTGGGTGTTCACTTCTGTATGATGATTATTACTTTTTGGATGTTTGTTACTACTTGGATGGTCACTTCTTGAATATTTTATTTTTGTATCTTAGATGCTTGTTACTTCTCTGATGTTTGATTATTACTGTTTGGATGATTGTTACTACTTGGAAGTTTACTGCTGTTTAGATATTCACTTCTATTTGACGATTTTCACTTTTTTGAGGATTGTTAATACTTGGATGTTCAGTGCTATATGGGTGACCACTGCTGATCTACAAGGCCCATCAGAGAAGGGGGGTTCCTGGGAAGGGAAGGAAGAGGAAAAGGAAAGAAAGACAGACACACAAAAACATACACTTTGGTAGTATCTTAGACCCAGTAAAAAAAATTTAGCTTTCATTGCATCTGATGATAATTGAAGAACTGATTGACCTGAACTCATATTCATTGTGATGTTTTAAAGCTTACTGATATGTATTTCAATGATACGATTCTTAGCAAATTTGTTTTTACAGCTTTTATGCTATGCCAACTTTAAATGCTAGTTGTAAAGGTGGTTATAGTGATAGGGGTGAGAAAGGAGCTTAGGTAAAAACAGTAGGATTAGACTTGGGAAAGTAAACTTTGAAAGAGAGAAAAATTGTACCAAAACTTTGGCTGATAGGAAGCAATTGGGGGCATGGAATTTCTCTGACAGGCTTTGCTGATATAGCATGACTATGGAAGTATCCACTGATTTCAGGAGGCATAAAAAATATTATTATTTTTCTTTGTTGATATGTACAGTTCTTACTCTTGTGTGTTTCACATGAGACAATTATCATTCGTTGATTGCATAATGTTAAAATAGACTAACTTTTGTAACTGGTCAAATTCCATTATTTCTTTGGACAGTAATGAATATGAAACCCAATCTGTCATTTGATTCACCATTTGTCACTCCATTTACTGGTTTCACAGAATTATAACACGCATGAGTAACACTAGACAAAGCAAATTGAAAAACAAGACTATACTTTTTATAGTGGGAAACTTGTTATATGTATGGTGTTTTTAAGTTCTATAAAAAATAGAGGTTCACTTTAGTGAGTAAAAGACAACTGAAAACACCATACATATAACATACAGTTTAGACAATGTCTTTTATATATATAGCAACACTAAATTTTCAGATTGCATTTGTGCCAGCGTTTAGTTTTGAAAAGTGTTTGGTTCTTCTGTAGACTAAAATAATATTCTGAATTGAGCTTTCTGTGAACTTTTCATCTTGTTATCTCTGCTATGAATCCATGCTAAGTAGAAGAGCTATAGTATTTGTCTATCATTTTGTATTACTGATGTTAGCTTTGTATTTTCAGTTTGGCTGCATTATTTTGTAAATGGTGGATGTGCATACAACTTCATATCCATATATTAGTGTTTTACTACTAAATAAGTTAAAATTTTAAGTCAGTTAAGAAAAAGTAGGTGTGAGAATGACTGTGCATATTGCTCTTGTTGTCAATGTTAAATGTAAATTCATTAGTAAAGTTAAAAGCATTTATTAAAAATGTATTTCAAGGTGGAAACAACTTAAAAGGTATTTTAAGGACTGTGTAAATAGATTTACCTGTGATGCATTTTTGTAAACATTTAATGCTGAGATATGTGTGTGTTTTCTCATAAGTTAATTTGTACTTTTAGTAAATTAGATGAGTGATGATCAAAATGTTTGACATTTTGTAACAAGTGATTATTGCATACTGCTTGAAAATAAAAATTTTGTATTGAAGTTTATTTTTTAAATATATCGAAACTTTTATTAGTTTTTATATTAAAAAAGTGGTGATAGGATATTGAAATTTACTTTTATAATTATATGTTTGGGACAAAGCTTTTAAATGTGAACATAGGAACAACATCTTATTAATTCAAAAACCTAAAATTTATACTTTTATTCTTGTGCATTATAACACATTTTTAATAACTGGACATTATAACAATGCGAACAACTGAAATATAAAAAGCTTATACTTGAGATACAAGGACAATACTTTTAGAATGGAATATTAAAACAATAATAATAATAATAGGCATTATAATAATTTGATACTTGAACATATAGAATATTTTCTAACTTTGGAACATTATAATAGTACTTTTAAAATAGAATATTGTAATGTGGCTTTTATAATGAAATATTTGAATGGTACTTTTATAAATACATTTGTATTCTGCATACTTCTGTTCCTCACAAAGAGTTGGAAGTCCTAAGAAACTAAAATCTATAGAAAGATTCCCAATCTTAAGAGGCCTGGCATGGCCAGGTGCTTTAGAGTGTTTGATGTGCAATCTGTGGGTCGTGGATTCGAATCCCCGTCCCACCAAATATACTCTCCCTCTTAGCCATGCGGAAATTACAATGTGATGGTGAATCCCACTATTTGTTGGGTAAAGAGTAGCTCAAGAGTTGGTGATGGGTGGTGATGACTAATTGCCTTCCCTCTAGTCTGCTAAATTAAGAAGGGCAAATGCAGATAGCTCTCATGTAGCTTTATGCAAAATTCGAACCAAACTAAAAACAACCTTAAGAAACTAGAACTGGATTAAACCTAATGGAAGACATCAACACTTTGCAACATTCATTCAATTGGAGAATAATTTTTCATTGTCTGCTTTTTCTTTGTGTGACTACATAAACACACACGTATATATATATATAGAGAGAGAGAATAATTCTCTACTGTATAGCATTACTCTCGTGTATATAAGAGGTTGAGATGTTATATTAAAATAATTTAATACAGTACACAACATAATCAAGAAGGATATTAGCTTGAAACAGCAACACAAATCATGTGTACACAAGTACCTTTCAGGACATAGTTGTTTATGGTTGCTTAACTTGAGCAGCAGAAGAGTCAAATGGGCATTCATGCTATTCCATACAAAGACATACTGGTCAAGTCACTGGATACAGCACCTGTAGATTTTTGTGCAAACGAACTGTTGAAACGGGAACAAGGAAACTATTATCTTTGTACACTAGCTGGGTTATGAAAAGCATGCAGAGGGGACTGGTGAGTTATAGATTTCACAACATGTACCAATAGAAATTATGCTGAAGGTCTATTGTCACAATGCATGATATTCAGACCAGGTGTTGCAACGTGCATAGTAACAAGATGGTGAAACTATAAAATTGTTATATTACTATGACTCAGTGGTGAAATTATTCATAAAGAAATACAGATATTCATCTTTGCCAGGACCTGGCCTCCCAGTGTGTGGAACATCAGGTTTTCTCCAAGTTAACGGCAACTCTTCGTGCACTGTTTAAAGTGTGCTGCCAAGAAATACAAATGGAAAGGAAAACCTCTGCTGTTACATGTTAACTTTATTTCTCTCACTGCTATAGTTATTCGTGTGGCTTCGTTGGGGACATCTCAAACAAGTTGTATCAACGCTGACACTGATGTTACGAGAAAGTACATAATATCAGCTGAAATGTATGCCATTTATTTTTGTAATCTGTAATGTAAGCGTTCTCAGTTGTGTGCTTGTTGTAGGTATGTTTTATCTTGAAAAATGTACTCAAAGCATGATATGATACAGTTAAAAAATAATTAAAGTTTGCCTTTAATGTTGACATTACCGTTTCTCTATAGCTGATGCTCTATTCAAAGCATGTTATGATACAGTTTACAAATATTTAAGGTTTTGCCTTTAATGTTGACATTACCGTATCTTTATAGCTGATGCTCTATTCAAAGCATGTTATGACACAATTTACGAATATTTAAGGTTTTGCCTTTAATGTTGACATTACCGTATCTTTATAGCTGATGCTCTATTCAAAGCATGTTATGACACAATTTACGAATATTTAAGGTTTTGCCTTTAATGTTGACATTACCGTATCTTTATAGCTGATGCTCTATTCAAACCATGTTATGATACAATTTACGAATATTTAAGGTTTTGCCTTTAATGTTGACATTACCGTATCTTTATAGCTGATGCTCTATTCAAACCATGTTATGACACAATTTACGAATATTTAAGGTTTGCCTTTAATGTTGACATTACCATATCTCTATAGCCGATGCTTATGTTATTTAAAAAGTACATGAATCGTACTAACATAAATCTGATAATTCTAGTTCTTTCGGAATAGGGTCGTACGTGATCTAACACTTTGCGTGTAAGGACTATAAATCCGAGGGTCCATGGTTCGCGTACCCTTGCTGAAAAACTGTGCTTCTCATCTTGAGGTCATGAGTGTACTATGAGAGTGAAAAGTCAAATCCCACTATTCAGTCAGACAAGAATAACACAAGTATTGGTGCTGTTGACTAGCTGCCTTCCCTCTAGTCTATTAGTTCAAAATTTGGAACGGCTATGCGCAGATACCCCTAGTATAGGTTTGCGCGAAACTTCTCAAACAAACATCTTTTGGAAAGCTCAAACAGTTAGCTTCCAGAAACCCTCGGATTATCGGGTTTCGTATTCAAGCCCACTATGTTTTTAGACTGATGCATTGTAGATAAAAAATAATCCGAGCACTAGCTCGCCTTTTTTTAGCTTCATAAAAAAACGATAAGTGAAATATTTATCATAGAACGTATAATACGACTTAAATGTTATTAATTTATTTCAGTATCTATAAATATATTTAAAATAGCTTCGTATGTATCAAGGTTTCAGTGTATGTAATAAGTATAATTTAGAATATTTGATTACCTATCATGCTTGTGCGTTTGTAATTAAGCCCTCCATGGGTATCGAAACCCGGATTCTAGCGTTGTAAGTCCACAGACATACCGCTGTGCCACTGGGGGCCGTTCCTATTATCTGTGAATGAATATCATTGGGTTATAAGGTTATAAATCAAGTATATACTTGTATATATCACGCATAAATTAAAAAAAATTGAGAGTGTAAAAATATGAGTCTAGTATGTTTAAATATATATATATATCAATTTGTTAATTCTATTTCTCCAAATAGTACCGAGTTTGTTAAAGCTAACTCAAATGTCTATAAACAATTATATTTATTATAACAAGATAGTTTCTTTATTTGTTTGCTATTAAGCACAAAGCTACACAATGGGCTATCTGTGCTTCGCCCACCGCGGGTATCGAAACCAAATTTTTAGCGTTATAAGCACATAGATTTACCGCTAATATATTTACTCTCATTCACAGTAGATAGGAGATATTCGTTACATATTAACATCTTTAAATGCAAACTTGAATTTTTACAAATCATATTTTCAAAGTATTACTCTGCAAAGGTTGTCAGATGGAACAGATGCTAATTTTCATTATTATTATTCACCGGATATGTGTTTGAGAACTTGCACTATAATTACTTTGCATCACAACTGTACAGGAAATTTAAATAAAACACTACATTTGCCATTATGTTCGAATCTATAATTCAACTTCGTTCAGTAACGCAGAATACTCTACAAGTGAATATTCTTCGGTGGATAGAAGCAGATGTCATTAGTTGAGAATAAAGTATACTTTGGCAAGTAACCAAGGAAACGGTGTCTTTAGGTGTCCTTGGTGATATATTAGTTTTTGCCAGGTCCATTAATTCCAGATAGTTGTATATAGAGGTGGGTGAAGCTCTACCTATGTAAGTGCAAGTGCGATAGAAGGCGTAAAGTTTTATCTCTCTCTCAAATATTAATAAGATTGTTTTTAAGAAGTCAGTTTGTTGCAAGAGTGGTAACCCGTGCGGAGTTGTTTGCAAATCTGGTTCATCTACCATTTTAAGATTTATTGCACTGTTGTGATTTGAGTACAGAGGATCTACAAATGACTGTTTCACTTTGAATAAAGTAATAACATAGGAGATCTCGTAATATTATATACATATCACTTCAATATTGAATGTGAACGGTCTGTCTTTGCTAGCCGTCACTAATTTTGAAGTGATAGACTAAAAGGAATACAACTAGTCCACACTACCCACCGCAACCAATTAGGCTACATCTTACTAACTAATAGTTGGATTGACCGTCACATTATAACATCCTCACGGCTGAAAGGGCGAGCATGTTCGGCGGTGGGTGGTGTTGACTAGCTGCCTTCTCTCTAGTCTTTCACTGCTATTTTAGGGACGGCTAGCGCACATAGCCCTTGTATAGGTTTGCGCTAAATTCAAACCAAAACAAACGAAATTTGGCATTATGAAAGGAGTGCAAACAAGTCGCAAAATCTAACATTTGAAAATTATATATATATACATGGAGAGAATGAGCTACGAAACCTTGAACAAGTGTTAGCATGTAACAGGCACCCAAACGCACTTGTGAGACAAGCTTTCCAACTCAACCGTTACCAATTACATGGTAGATTAACGAATGAGAGAAGTTGCATTTTAACATCACCATATGTTTTCTTACCGTTCATCAAGGAAAGGAATATTACCTAATTATGCAGTCTGACGCGTACGATGGCCAAAATATAAGTTGGGTAGACAAGCGTACTTCAGGTTTACGGACCCAGTGCTCGTTAGTTTGTCACCCCCAGCAATTCTTAGTCTATTCTCCATCAATTTTCATTTCAATTGTGAATCTTAAGACTACAAAACAAATTAATTTATTAAACCCTCACGAACTTTTACAATAAGAGTTAACTAACATGTTGATTTTACTTTCCACAGTTACAGAGGTGTCATCTTTTTTTTTTCTTTGAAGCGAAATCGCATACTTTTTGTGCAATTTCATACTCGACTGACATTATTGCCAGTCCAACCAGTTTTGTTTGTGTC